TATATGTACGCCATCTCTTCGGCGATTGCCTGAAAGGTTGCTTGCTTTCCTGCAGATATTTTGCGGTATTCGTTGATTAACAGGTAGCCTGACCTTTCCTCAAGTAGCCTAAATGATATTCAAAAAAATTTTTTTTTGGTTTGATTCTGAGTGTACGGCTGAGAGGCTGAATTTTACTTGCTTTTTTCATTTTAGGGGAGTACAATGAGACGCAGATTTTTCTTGCAAAATTGGCTCATTGGGAAGACGAAGAGATTGCAGAGAGTTTAAAACAACGGGTAGAATTCAGGTCAGTTGCAATGGAATTTCGCTGCAATTAATGAACACGATTCGAGATGCCCGAAATGTTCTACTGTTTTACTGAACGATCCAATGGTGTAGTAGCGTACGATGTTATCCCTGATACTGTGGGAAAGAAAGCCAGCATTTCGAGGCTTCGACTTTTGCTCAGAAATTGGCTTTAATAAATGGGGGCTGTACTGATGATTCCCGCCTCTATTCACATCTTGTGCTGTCTGTGTTTGCAGCTTGGAGATGAAACGCTGGCAGGCTTTTTGTACATACAGCTCTTCACATGACTTCTTTTAGATTCCACCGTGACTTATTTAAAAAAATATCACAACAATCTGAACCCTTTTTACTTTCTTTCTTTCATTACCACCACAGACCTTGGATGATTACCGCCCCACCACGGCGCTTTCCCACTTCAGGCACGAATTTTGGCGCCCATCCTGGTAATACCCTTAGCTACGGGGCCACTGTTCCGGCTTCTTCTTTCGTTCAAAGGGCCCTTTAGGCCCGTACTGCCTTCTTGTAGTGATTTAATACTGTGTTATCCGCAACCTGTTCAACATGCATTTGAGCATACCGCCTTCATCTGGCTTGGAAAGGCCTGCTAAATGCCTGCATCAACTAGTATGACCACTGCCCTCAGTTGATTAAAACAGCGTGGTGGGGCACTGTTCCGTGTGTGATGTTTCGGGACTCCAGGCCTTTCTAGTAAAACTTCTCGAACAGTTTTAAGCAGAAAATGGACTGTGACTGAACTGGAGCCTTGTATATCTCCCGAAATCTGATGAATGGTATTTTAAGTAGCTATTTTTAACAATATTTTTGACGATGAACTTTACCGTAATTTATGTTTTAGTGATTAGACTGCGGAAAAGACCTGAGTTTGAAGCGGTAGTCGTATTCTTCCCAGCTTTATGAAGTGCAATTCTCAGTGCATCTCCTTCCCTTCCCCTCTCCTTCCATACGTCAGATTCTTTTGAGTGAGGGAATAAGAGAAAAATTAAAGGGCAGGATAAGTCGAAGCGGAAGATTTGAAAAATCTGGTGTGCAGATGTATCAGCTATAATGCGTGGAAGCATTTTGAGACTTATTTCCAAACGAGTTTGATATAAAGAAGTTATTCAAAAATTGAAATTTGAAAAATGTGTTGCAGTCGACGAGCAATATCGAAATTAGTGCAAGTGTTTGACCATATCACACAGAGGAATGCCAAAATTGCGGAGTTGGTTGCATCGTGCCCAGCGTCGCAGGAAGCTACTACCAATGATGGTAAGAATCAGACCGGCATTTTTATTGAATTTTTATCTATTATAATTTGACAGAATCGAAGCGTATGACTGACTTTGTACAAAAATTTTGCCCTCGAAGGCCTTCGACGTTGTGGCGTAGGAACAACGACAACTTTATGACATGTAGCTGAGGAGTGTAAAAACGGTGTAGCTACGTTTGGCGTATGAACACGACATAAGGTGTTTTACGTAGGAGGTGGGAGTTCTATGGCTTCTTTTGTTCTCTGCAACAGCTGCACAAAACGCATATTGCCACGAGGTTGTCTGTGTGCGTATGTGTGTGTGTTTGTGTGTGTGTGTGTGTGTGTGTGTGTGTGTGTGTGTGTGTGTCCGCAGCAACTTGTCAAAAGCTAGGAAGCTGAAGATTTAGAGGTATGTCCCAGCAAATTTAAATTCGACCTTCTGCTCGCGGGTAACACGAGTGGCCCCGTGAAAGTATTGGCGGGCAAATTATCTCGGGAATCGAGGAAGCTGTAATTTCAGGGTAGACCCACTACCCACCTATGACCTAGCAAATTCAAATTCAGCGTTCCCACTCTTGGGTATCATCAACGTCCTCATGAAAATTTTGGCCGAATAGTTATCTCGGAAGCCATAAAAACCAAGAAGCTGCAATTTTGTGGTAGTTTCCTTTGCCCACATACAGTCCCGCAAATTTGTATTCAGCATTTCCGTGCCTAGACATCATTTACGGCCCTCTGAAAATCACGGCTTTTTATTATCTTGGGGGTCATTAAAGTTGGGAATCTGAAATTTTAGAGCGATGCCCCCTATAAGCGTAAGAATTTGGATTCAGCCTTCACGCACTCTTGGGTGTCGCGTACGGCTCCATAAAAGTTTTGAAGGAAAATTGTCTCGTGAACTGCAAAAACAAGGAAGCTAAACTTTTAGCGAGTCATCCCCTGTCTACATACAATTCCGCGGATTTTCAACGTTCCCGTGAGATTTTTGGCGGGAAAATGATTTCGGGGGTCAAAAGAGTTAGGTGGTTGAAAGTTTCTGGAGAATGCTTCCTGCTTGAGCAGCGGCTCCACGAACTCGAATTCAGTTTCTGAGTATTCCGAAGTCTCACGTACGACCACGTGGAACTTTTGTCCCAGTGATTATTTAAAAGCCAAAAAAATAGAGGGCTGTAATTATGGAAGGATATTCACCGTTCGAGATTACAAATTCAGCTTTTACGTAAAATTTTTAACTATTTTTCAACATTCCAACAATTTTGCACAGAACAAAGTGCGGAACCGTGAAAATCATTAATAGGCAATCGTTCGGTGAACGGAATTGCACAAAACGCATGATCGCACCGGCTAGTCTGATGCGCGCTGCTATTTATTTGTTTTTTTTTTTTCCTCAGAGAACTCAGCGACTTTCAAATTTGTTACAGTTAAACAAATGAAATACTTGTTTCAAACAGAAACTATTCATCGGGTTAATTCCGCGAGTGCTAGATTTATAGCAAAAAATTAGGTGGCGCGTTAAGGCATGCTTTGGAGGAATTCCTTTTTTTACTGTTGGCCAGGTCATAGGAAAAAAGAAAATGGAGATTTTAATCTCTGGAAAATTAAGTATATAGTGTTTTTAAGTATATGTTGCAGGTGCTTCTACATCCGATGAAAAGCCAGCAGTAAATGTGATGTTGGCAAAAATGAATACGGAATTAAGTGAAGAAAATGTAAAACTACAAAGAATAATTACGAAACTTCAGTGCGATAATCACAGCCTTTTAGCAAAAGTATGTCTTTTGTTAATGTGTTTCGGAAATACCACTGTTCAGTTTTGGGCTGATTTGTAGAGGCAGTCTAGGAACTTATAGCCAGAAAACTCGTAGTATTTTTGCGAATTTTCATTCGAATGCGTGATATTTTTCATGTACTCAGGTACTGATTGTGACAGGAAGCTTTGGTGTGACTTATTTGAGATAACCGTAGCTTGAGGCCCTCGCGGTAATTCATCGAAACGTGCTGCAGCTTGTTGACACCTACCTTGCCTCCTTCCATCACTCGTTAAGTGGCCGACTTTTCCTCCTCTGCACGAATGGTATTCGATGCTTCACCTCCATCCGTGCCCAGAGCTGCTAACAGCCTAAAATTGAAAGGCGTTGTTTCGCAACATATGTTAAGAGTTCGAAAAAGCGCCATAACTTGGTGAGGCAGTGCATTCGGTGTCCACTCAGCTCGTAATCTGTTTTATTTGGACCAAATAGATACAGCTTTTCGCGCTTTTTCGAACTCTAACATATCATTCATTGCGAAACAACGCCTTTCAATTTTGCGTTGTTAGAAGCAGAGAACTGCTTCTTTACTTTTCGCGTTAAACTGGTACCTGTATACGTAAATATGCTTTTTTTTCGATCGATTTGAAAGCTTGAACGCCAGTTCATTTGACAGAGATTGCAGTGTTTATAAGTCTTTCTGTGAATACAAGGTCGTCTGTAAGAATAAGCATTTGGAGTATCTTATTGCGGTACAAAGTCCCTTTTTGGTTTCAGCTTTTCGTGTAAATTTTTCAAGCGCTCGTGTAATGACACTGGGGAATAAATTTCGGCTTTTGTTTATATTGTTTAGTAGAGACTTTTTTTTTATCAGTTGTTTTTCAGGTATTAGCTCAGGAAGATATGCTTGCAAGAATGGATATACAAAAGCAGGAGATGGACAATAGATTGGAGGAAGTGAAATATGAACTGGAGAAAGTGTTACGCCGCGAATGTAAACTTGACGTCCGTCTTGCCGAGGTTTGCTTACATGTTTTTGTGGCCACGAATGATCTACGGCTCTACGAATATGTATGTTTTGGTTGATGAGCAAGCATTACGTATGCCAGTCGCTGAATAATATCTGTGATGAAAAGTTGACCATCAAAACGGCTTTTGGAGAAATGTTTCACGTATACTATGTTATGTAGCAGGGTATGGTGTAGTTCAGGAGCATACAGTTTGCGTCCTCAGTGTCATCGAAGTTTCTCACTGATGCCCTTGCAAACTTTGTGATTTCGATTCTTTTTGATATCACGGTGTACATCTGCTGAAAACTAAATTCTTCCCAATTTTTTATGCTGCGCATGTACCAAAGTTACATGAAATACGATGAAGTGCGTACAAGGTGGTGATGAAAGGATGAGGTTTCCTGTTTTGAGCCCTCTGCATCTTCACCACCACCTTATGCGCATTTCGTTTTTATGCATTTTGTGCTGTGTAACAGCAGTACGAAACGCATATTGTCACGGGGTTGTCTCTATGTGTGTTTGTGTGTGTGTGTCCGCAGCAACTTGTCCACAACTTTCAACTCAGGAGCCACAGAAGCTAGGAAGCTGAAAATTTAGGGGAACGTTCCTCACCCACTTGTAACCCCGGAAATTTAAATTCAGCTTCCCCGTACCCACGGGTAACACGTCTGGCCCTGTGGAAGTTTTTTACGGGTAAATTAATATCTCGGGAACCACGGAGACTATGAGACTGAAATTTTAGGGTAATGACCCCCTGCCCACGCTCAACCTTGCCCATTCAAATTCATCCTTCCCGTACTCGTGGGTAACACGTACGGCCTCATGAAAGTTTTTACGAGTAAATATCTCGGGAACCATGGAGTCTAGGAGACTGAAATTTTGGGATAATGATCAACTGCAAAGCGCTCCCGCGCTCTCGGGTATCATCTATGTGTTAGTGAAATTTTTTTACGGGTAAATTATTGTCTCGTAAACCGCGGGGTCTAGGGAGCTGAAATTTTAGGGCAATGACCCCTGCCTACGCTCGACCTTGCCTATTCAAATTCAGCGTTCTCGCGCTGTTGAGTATCACCTACAGCCTCGTGAAAATTTTGGAGGGTAAACTATTAACCCAGGATAGAGATATTCACCCTCCAAGGTTTCGAATCCAGCTTTCATGCTCTGGTGCGTGAAATTTTTAACTGTTTTCCAATGTTTGAACTATTTTTGCATAGACTAAAGTACAAAAGTGCGTGAAATTTTTAACTGTTTTCCAATGTTTGAACTATTTTTGCATAGACTAAAGAACAAAGCACTGGTGTGTGAAATTTTTAACTATTTTCCAATGTTTGAACTATTTTTGCATAGACTAAAGTACAAAGCATGAAAATCATTAATAGGCAATCGTTCGATGGGCCGAATTGCACAAAACGCATTATCGCACCGGCTAGTCTGTTGAAATTTTTAACTGTTTTCCAATGTTTGAACTATTTTTGCATAGACTAAAGCACAAAGCAGTGAACTGGTGCATGAAATTTTTAACTATTTTTCAATGTTTGAACTATTTTTGCATAGACTAAAGTACAAAGCAGTGAAAAGTTTTTAACTGTTTTTCAATGTTTGAACTATTTTTGCATAGACTAAAGTACAAGGAAGTGAAATCTTTAACTGTTTTTCAATGTTTGAACTATTTTTGCATAGACTAAAGTACAAAGCAGTGAAAATCATTTTCTTAACTGTTTTTCAATGTTTGAACTATTTTTGCATAGACTAAAGTACAAGGAAGTAAAAATCATTACGTCTGGTTTTCAATGTTTGAACTATTTTTGCATAGACTAAAGTACAAAGCAGTGAAAATCATTAACAGGCAAATATCGTTATGGTAGAACTATTTTTGCATAGACTAAAATACAAGGAAGTGAAAATCATTAACAGGCAATCGTTCGATGGGTTGAACTGCACAAAGACGCATGATCGCACCGGCTAGTCTGGTGCGCGTTGCTATTTATTACAATTACACGCATGATCACACCAGCTAGTCTGGTGCGCGTTGCTATTTATTTTGATATTAGTCCGAGTAGTGGAATTTTTTCGCAAGTAATATGTCCTTTCCCTTTCCTCGGCCAGGAGTTGATTTTATTTTTTATGTGTGCTGCGTGGTGGGCCATCGATGCATCAGCTGCTAGCATTTCTGTTTCGCTTGATCATGAGTTTGCTGCGTTCACATAACTCTATATAAGAGCACAGACAAATTACTTGATTTTGCCTGTTTTTATGCTGTATGAATAGCACTCCGCATCACACTTTATTACTGTTATGTATCCTGTTTTAACCAGTTCGGAATTTAGAACCGTTTTGGGAAAAATTTAGAAATTCAGAAATTTGACAAACGTTTTAGACGTTTTTAGGAAACCAGTAAGTTGTTTCGAAATCAGAGTAATTAATTTTTTAGTATGTGAGAAAAAACAATGATCTGGAGCTGAATCTGATGAAAGCAGCGACAACCAATGGCCCCAATAATATCAATAGTGCAAAAGCATCCGATTCAGATACAACAGAGAGCGTCAATAAATCCACGGTAAGGTGAAATTAATCATTTTGAAGGCGAAAAATCCTGCTCCCATTCATGCTTTTCCCGTAAAAAATATTTGCACGCATGCGCTCGCAGGGGTTTTGTAGACGCAGAAGGCAATTCATGCCCTCTTATTTCTCACGTGCTGGCACATGGAGGTTAACATCAAAAATCATGTAACACCACAACCAAACTAGCCGTAAAACTATTCCGTGGATGGAACCCACGGCATTGTGTGGGTCCGTATATGTGAAAGCAATCATCCTTCTATATCGTACGTGCAAGTTTAATTTGACAGTTCTGTAA